AGACGTAGAGTAATACATACAGGATCGGTAGAAGGTAATTCGGGGGTAGGAATTGTACTGCGTAGGAAAGTAGGGTAAAGTGTAGAAAGTTATTTACAAAAAAGCGATAGGAAAGTTATGGTTAAATTAAACTCGAAGCCGGTAAAAACGGCATTAGTGCAGGTCTACATGCCTACATCATCTTACACTGATGAATACGTAGAAGCGGTTTATGCAGATATAGAAGACGTGTTAAGATTAGTGAAAGGACAGGAAAACCTAATAGTTTTAGGAGACTTCAACTCAGTAATAGGTGAAGCTAAAGTGGGTGCAATAGCAGGTTCTTTTGGATTAGGCAATAGAAATGATAGAGGAGATAGACTGGTAGAATTTTGCGATAAACATAACTTAACCGTCGCCAATACTTTTTTCAACCATCACGTTAGGAGGCGCTATACGTGGAAGATGCCAGGTGATTTAGGGAGATATCAGTTAGATTACATACTTGTTAGGCAAACGTTTAAAAATTAAGTGAAAGATTGTAGGAGTTATCCAGGAGTAGATATAGATAGCGATCATAATTTAGTAGTTATGAAGATCAATCTTAAATTGAAAATTCTGAAAAATAGGGAAGGTAGGAAACGTTTTGACTTAGAAAAGCTAAAATGGAACGAAACGCGTGATGGGCTAGGTAAAAGGACAGACGAAATACTAAAGGCAGCGGGAGAAACGAATGACGGGGACAAAGAGACAGAATGGAACTGCATTAAAACATGCCTGAAGTCAGCAGCTACAGATATACTAAGTCTTAAACGAAACGAAAGTAGGAAACCCTGCATAACAAATGAGATTTTAGGAATAATAGAAGAAAGGCGGAAATCCAAAATCAGGACAGACGAAGAAGGGCAAAAAAGATATAAAGCTATAAAGTGGGAAATAATTAGGAAGTGTAGGGCAGTTATGTTAGTCCGATAGTACCTACTCGAAGTAGGCAATAAGATAGTAACTAATGGAGTGGAAAATACGTATATAAAATACGGAAATAAACATCCAGTTTTAGCTACAAGTTGTAATTAATTTGATCACCATAGTCATTCCATCACACGGTGGATTTTTCAAGTGGAAGAAATCATAATTCTTAACTAATTACTGTGTGTTTACTTTCATATTTAGTTGTTTAGAGTGATGATCCCAATGTTGGTCTTCTATATTTGGTCTTAGTCTTGGTCTTGCTGGTTAAGTCTTGATCTTACTTATTTAATCTGATACCTACGTTTTCTTAAAATTCTGAGCACAAATTCTTCTATTTAGCGACACAATATTATCTTAAATGTTGAAATTATTTGTCATACACGCGAGCTTATCATGAGTTTTAAAGAAATTACTGTTGATAGTTCTGACAGTTATGAAAACTCTAGAACCTACCCTTTCTCCAATGCATAAATTGACATTTCCTCCAACACATAAATTTACCCTTTAGAGCACATAATAGTACAAGGTTAGGTACTTGAGAGAACTAACAATTTAAAAACAAAAAAAATTAGTTGTGTCTCTTTATTTCAAGCAAAGCAAACTGAAAATTTCAAATATTAAAAATGTTTTTTATCCAAAAAAGAATATTTATAAGTTGCTTCAAACAGTTTAACTCATAGATCCATCGGAAGTAATAATTTCTCGTTTAGTCTTTGTATTTAGTCTTGGTCTTGTTCGGTCGGTCTTGACCTTGGTTTGCTGGTATAAATATAGTTTTGCTCTTGCATTTATCCTATTTCCGATGCACAATTTGGGGCCAACCTTGACATGTATTATGCGCAATTGAGAGTTAGATTAAAACGCAAAGCCATAACTTGCACTGACATTATTTCTTATTTTACTGCATATCAGTTTCACCTTTACTCTTAACCATAAGTTAAATAAATTGATGTTCCTTTAAAGGTCATTCGAGTATTTTTATAAATAAGTTATATGGATGAGTAGAACCTTTTTTGTTCGAAAACATTATAATAATGTTCGGAATGCTTTTAGTATAAAATAAATGCTTCACTCTTGTCTTGTCTTCTTAATTATTAACATAAATAATGTCGGAGTTCGCGCTAGTCAACGAAAAAAAGCCCAACGAAAAAAGTATTGTAGCAGGCCGAGCTACATTTCTTTTCATCAAATATGACATTTATTTCTTTTGAAGTGTAAATGATGAAACGTCATGACGAAATGGAAGCTAAGTTGTTCTCTCTAGGCTACTTTATGCTCGTAAAAGCATGTCAGGTAGCTCTGAAAAAAGCAACGAATTGGAGAGCTGGAATTCAAGCAAGACCGAAGCGGGCAGGAAGAATTTAGTGGCGGACAACTCAGGTTGGTTGTTTGTAATTTAAAACATTCGTATATTTTCCTATGACCAACAAAGTAAAAACCAAATCATGCCCAGTTGGGGATACAGTTGATGTTGCATCTATCTATATATTTTAAGACTTTTGAAAATCGAAATAAACTTGTTATGATGTTAGCAAAGCGTTTAAAATTAATAATATTTGCATAGGAAACCTGAGACTGATATAAAGTGATCAAAGATTAANATTTAGGTTACAGTAACATTGTACCAAAGTTTAATAAAAAACCAGCGCATTGTATGTATCATACTAATAAAGACAATGTTTCTTGTTCTACGTCTAACTGTATTTTTATACATGAATACATATGTAAATAGATTTGTAATTGCAATAAAATTAATAAAATAATAACTGTATTTTTATATTTTGTAAATAGATTGTAATTACAATAAAATTAATATAATATTGAACCATAAAATAGACTTTTTTGTTCTATAACATTTATACATAAATTGCATTGGTATTTGTTGTTTTTGCATGTGTATGATCGAGATCTGCCGCCGCACGTGTCGTGTAATAACAGAGGCTTAAAAAATGCCAATACTATAAACAAACAAGCGGATTACATCAGCCGTACAAACAAGCAGCAACTTGTTCGTACAGAAGTAATGCAAACATCAATAATAATAATAATAATATAATAATAATGGAATATTTACGGAACGTTGTTGATTGTTTAGAACCCTCCCAATGGTTTTAATTCTCCTTAAAAGTTTCACAAATAATCAGGTTGAGTTATCGTCCTTGGCAAAATTTATTTTGTCACAAATTAAACTCGATTAAAAAGTTCTTGAAGTTCAGCGAAATACTTGTGTTACTCGACATCTTCGTAGTTGACAATTTCGCTTTATATATTAAGTGGCATTAGGGCAAAAAGTTTTGCTGAAACCATCTCATTTCCCCCATCTTCTCTGGTTGTAGGTCAAAATTTCACAGTCCCTAAGAAGAACGAACCAAAGAAACTGTCAAGTAGTGTTAGGATTGAAAGTGAAAACTTGTCTAATTATCGAGATAGAAAAGCGAAAGGCGAAGGCGGCAGCACCCATGATTATGCAAAGAACTTAGAAACTATAAGAAATAAATTAAAATTGCTTGACATTAGTCAACGAAGTTCATCAATATCTACGAATAATGACGTGCAAGCTCAACGTTCATCATCCAGTTTTACTAGCGTCAGTCCGAGAACAGCGGGATTGCACATTTCTGCACCAACGTCTACAAAAACATATTTTCCAAATGTCATCTCAAACAAAGAAAAGAAAATTGATGCCGAAACAACTTTCAGCAACTCATTATCTTCTTCCAATAGCTCGCCCAAAAATGACAAGCTGGTGAAACATAAACAGGTGTCCGACGGTTCAACTTCAAGAAGTGCCAAAATTATTAACATTTACAGCCCGAGGAAGAAAATGTACTTTACGTCATCATCAATTTCTAACAGCAGTTCGAACGGTAGTTGTTTTGCACATTTCGATAAAGGTTGTCGTCGTACAGTGGTAAATGAAAAGGCAAAACATTTACCACAACATCCAAAGAAGAAAGCAACCTCAAGCGGATCAACATCTGGCTCATCGAGGAAGAGTCAGTTCAATGAAATATCCAAAGCTAAAAGGCGAACAAGGAAACATTTAAAAAAAAGAGATATGTCAATTGTAGAAGTGCTAAATAAAGTGTGCAAGCCAAAATATGAACAACCCAGTAATCAATCTAAGAAAGATACTTGTGATAATGTATCTTTTTCGACAAGTACAACAGACGAAGATGAAGAAATCGAAAAAGAACTATCAGACGTACCATTGGCCGTCGAACATCAAAATGTGACCTCGCCTTTAAAAACTAAACGTGAGTCGCCAGAACCTTTTAGTTCGAGAATACAGAATTTCGGACTTCCGGACTCTGGAGAATCTTCGATTAAAAAGTATAGCTGTAGCATTGATCACAAACAGCCTGAAGTTAGACCGATTACCAGGCGAAACAAGCAAACTAGTCCATCCAAAGGAACATCTAAAAGCCTGCCAATGAAGTCCACTAAAAGTGAAATCCGATCTCAGTTACAGAAAATGTCACAATCTGCTGTGTCTAAGAACCAAAACCCGAAGATTAAAAGTTGTACTACTGTAAAATTAGCAACACCCACAAATCTTAAAAAACATACGAAGGTAAAGGAAAAAAGCGATTGCGTCACAAAATTAACAACAATAAAATCGAGTAGTTCCTTTAACAACACCTTACCCGAACTTTGTAAAGTGAGGATAGACAGCGATGTCGCTGTAAAATCAGCATCTTTTCGAAAAATTAAGAAATCTGTCGATCGTATTCAATCTAAGTGTATAAAGCCAAAAATTTTGGAAAAAACTGAAAACTTGACGTTAACTGCAATGATTTGCAGTCCCAAAGAAGAGGTATCTTCGGCTTCAACTAAGTCAGGTACATCTCCATCTCAGTTAACTCTAACTTCCCCCACAGTTACTGAACGAAAGTCGAAGAAAACCGTTCCTTCTTACAAATTCCCGTTTCCAAGTGCAACAATTCCAAGGGCATTCACACTAGAAGGTTTGTTGTGTGATACGGTGAATAGCCCATCAAAACAATCAAAGGTAAAGAAAAAGTCAGCAACACCACCCTGCAATCCAGTATCAAACGTTGATGATTTAAGGGTTTACAGCACCCATTTGGACTTGCCCAATGCGTTTCATTCAGACAAAATAAAAAGTTCGAGCTATTTGATTCCCTATTTAAAAAAGAAAAATAGAATCCATAATACCAGAAGAGCTACGACTGGTGACAGTTCCATTAATCGTAGAGGTTTCAGCCATACAAAAAGTATACAGTTCACTGTTAGTCCTAAAAAATGGTTACTTACACGGCAAAGCAAAAGTTTACCAGGAAAGAGCAACAGTAAATCCAGCGGTAGCAGTCAAAAGAATGTAGAAACCATGTTTCTAAATCTATCGTATAGTAATCCATCTACTTCACATTCAGAAACGTATTTTTCTGAAACTTTGTCATGTCCCATACCATCCAAAAGAATCTGCATGAGAGAAGATCAAGATTACGATGTCTTTCAAATCATAATAGAAAATGACGATAATAGCAGTATAGCATCGACGTGCACTAGCCCCCCGAAAAAAATGTGTGTAAGGGAAAAAACTCCGGAAATATCGGAAAATGTCAGTACAGATTCCAAGAAAAATTTTTCTGACATATCAGGGACTCCTTCTGAAAAAGATTCCGTGGAGTCAGTTCCAAGTGATGATTTCAAAAACTCTATTTTATCAATGTTACTTGAATGGAGAGCGAAGGAGATCGAAAAAATAAACGGTAAAGAACAAATGAAGGATAAAAGCACAATCAGTTGGGTAAACCAGAGCAGTAATAACGAACTTTGTCTAGCAAAAAATGTTACGTCAGAGTCCGAATCGAAAGATGAAGCAATAATAAACGATAAATACAAAATGGAAGCGTTCGCAGAATCTGAAAGCAAAGAAGACATTGATCTGTCTGTGGATTTTGATGAAGAAAGGTTTGAACAACAGCTTGCAGTAATATCGGAAGAAACCAGAATTGTTTCAGAAGAAGACGTAAATCTTCGTACTATTAATTCTACTGAACGCCTATCTATAGATGAAGATCTAATGCTTAAGCTTCCTCTTGAACCGGAAGTGAATGTGATAGGATCGCTGCCAACTAGTGCATCGCGAAGAAGTAATGGTGGACAAAACAATTCATTGCGCGAGAAACAAGATGCTACCACAAGTGTAGAGGATCTAAGATTGCCAATGGAAAACAAAGAAACTTATACAAGCCACGAATCATTTCGGAAAGATGTTGGACAACAGTATGAATTAACGGAAGATGGTTTGTATAACAAGGATGTGACAGCTTCGAAAGCGTCCGGGAAAATTTTAGATGAAAAGACGGAAACCTACAACAAATCAAGTTGGGTATGCGGTTGTTTTCTAATGCCGCTCCTTGAGAGAAGTGTCTTCGAAGCCTATCAAGTGCCATATGGTGAAGGAGATCCAATTATATCTTTACTTGAACTGAATGATGCTATTACAATGGAAAGGACTCAACAGAAAATAACCCCGAATGTTAGTATTTTAGAAATAAATGAATTAGATGATCAAATCAGTAACGACAATGTAACATCTACTTCGGTCAGAGAGGTCTATTTGAATGGGGATGATGATGCAATGGTTCCATTAAATCCAAACTTAATGTTGAGTCTTGATGTGCCAAAAAAGTTTTTGCGTCTGTACGACTTCCCAGCATTCACAAGGATCACCACAATTGCTGGAAGTTGTGAAAGCTGCGTATCGTTATGGGAAAAAAATGATATTGTTTTAACCGAGCCAACTGGATCAAAATTATCTAGTCCAAAAGGTCGTTCGACTTCCAATACGCGGAAATCTAAAGACGTTTCCTGGGGGGATAACCTAATGCCCGAAAAGAAGTTACCAAATCTGAAGGACGATTTCGATCAAACCCTCCTCACCGTTTTGTACCGATCTAGATGCAGTGCAGTCCACTCTCCAGACAAAAGCACATCGAGTATCTGCAGGTGTCATTCGGAAAGAGGCTTCTCTGAAACGTCGGAATCACAAGATGAAGACGGAAAGCAAAGCGGTTGCTTCAGTTGCTTTCGTCGGTTATTTGGTAGACGGAAGAAAAGATTTTTTGATTCTCATAGTTAACTTACTACTATTATTTACCAATATCGAATTGTATTTATTATACTATTAAGGCTTAAAAAGGTTCTATCATATTATTATGTTTATTTATATACTCATGTACATTCTATTTATGATTTAAATATACTTAACTGTAACATGTAGACTACGCCATCTGTGGTGAATTGGGTTTAATTGTGGATATTTTGGCGACATAATGAATTAAAAGCATTACTGGAATCATAATTGGTGGCTAAACTGTAGGTGGTGTTTATTGAAATACCTCACCATCGTTAGTCTGAATGCTGGTTGGACACGAACGTCTACTCTTCCTTATCCCGAACCAACCTTCGCATTTCCCAAAATGTGGAACGTCTTACATCTTTAACTATACGGATCTATCGGAGATATCACTTCCGATATATAGTTTCCTGATTCCCAACCTGCCACAGCATTTCTGGATTTTGAAATATCCTACCTCCAAATTCCAAAAGATTCAATGTTTGACCCTTTTGTGACCATTACTATGTGAAATTAAAGAAAGAAATAACGAAGAGAGTAGTTATCTTCGACTCATCCTTCATCGCTGAATTAGACTCTTATTTTTAGATTGTCGAGAGCATTAAAATTCTGATACATCTTAACTTAAGAATTAGAAAAGTGACTCTTTTTTTTATGGTCACTTTTTTCGGATTCTTTTGTAAAATCCATGCTAATGTCCACGAAAAATGACAGCAATTATTTTTGATATGATTTCTAATGACGATCTAAATTTTGCACCAGAATTCTCTTAAAATATTGAAATTTTATGATAACTCATAATTTCAAATTCAAACAGTCCAAATTGCACCTAGCAACATTTGAATTTTGGAGTTAAAATTTGTCATAATCTTTATGTTCGGGGGTAATTATGAGTTTAGATTTTACAGTCATCTCGGAAATGACTACTCCCTTGATTAGAGATTGATTTAGACTTTCACGGTTGTCGTGTGAAGAAAGTGGATTTCCGGTATTTAACCGCGTCTTATTGATGAAATTACCATGACGGATCACTGTGGCATTCGATGTTTCGTTTTCTATCACCTCAGCATCACCACTTCACCACCACGTGAAGTTTCCGAAGATGTCCCACTGATAGGAGACGAAACGTTGAACACTTTTGATGCCACCATAATCCGTCATGGTGATTTCGTCAATAATACGCGGTTACTATCTTGGTAGTTTTACTCTTTCATTTGACGTAATAACGCTCTTAAAAAGGCCAAGAACTGTATTATAATAATTAGGATAAGTTCTGAGGTAATTATAGATTACGTCATAAATGATTGTCATTGTTTTCCTATTCAGTACTCGATTTCGTTGACCTGCGCGATTGCCCACAGTAATCCAATCCCAGGTCTTCCTTGGACGCTTGGATGAGGACTGTCCGTGAAAAGAGGGCTTGAGGTTGTTCATCAAGTTTCATTTACGTGTTTTTCACTCTATATTTCGTGGATGTTCTTCTTTCTACTGATGCTTTTTGCTTTATCCAAATAGGAGGTAGCCGCTCTGGATCTCCACACTTCTGATGGACAAACTGCAATCGTTATTCGGTGTCTTTGTTGAGAAGCTTTTGTTCTTCTGCTGCATATTTCGGTTTTTATAATGAAGGGATTAACAAATAAATAAAGTATAATAAAACTAAAAGCGCTTGTGTAAATCGACTAGGCCGCGAATGTTGCGCTTCGGAGATGCGCGAAAGTGTCCATGCACACCCACTTTCTAGTGTAGTAGGTTTGCTATGGAATGAAACTTGACTGTCAGTTTACAGCTGACTCGTGGTGATTGCTGGTGTACGCGCGTTTAAATATCGGTAATGTTTTGCGTGGATATTATAAATAAAAAAGGAATTAATAGTTATTAAAAGCAATTGAACCTTCTGGCATATTGAGGTAGTGGGCCCGAAATATGCACGTCTGTTAGTGTGAATCAAAATATGCTTAATGTAATATTCAGTTTTAAATTGTGCAAGTGTCACCAGAAGTTACCTGGTGGAAAGTATCGCTCAGTAGAAAGTGAATTTTCAATTCCAGAGTAGCGTAGCTTCTCGTTTTTTGGTAAGTCGTTTGACGAACTAAGTTTAATGTTGTACCATAGTACAGTTTCTTTTGACGTGGAGATGTCAAAGCAGAAATAAGTTGCAGAAGTTGTTATAGTAATAACGCAACTAGATAACACCTCTCAATAGAACGCAGAAATACAATACAATTTGCGTGCTTTAGAATGTTAGTTTCTTAGGGAAAGTGTTTCTGTACACAAGGCCAGTCAGTTAGGAAAAAAATCTATGTAAACTTGCAGCAACAGTCATACTAACGCGTACATATTATATTATTAGCGAACATTGTACCAAAGTAGGTATTAAGTTTGTGTCTTTCTCACAGATAAAATTTAATGTACTGTGTCTTTTAAAAAGCGAAGACTTTTTGAAACTTCATCAACTAAAGTATCTACCCAAGTTTGGTGATAAAAGTAAATAATACTTTCTGATAAAATCTCTCAATTCGAACTTGCGGATATACTTATGGTTATGCATACCTACCTGTTTGCTAGAATTTCCCAGTAGGTAATTTATTAAGTGTCTCGTAACGAGGTGAATGTTTAAGTAAAACTGTCTGGTAAGATACTTTCATTTTAAATGAAGCGTAACCCATGCGTGTTAACTGATTTGAACTGCTAAATTGTGACTGACGTGACAAAAATCATTTTTTACATGATATACAAGAGCTAGCTGAATATCGAACTAGTTGAACAAACAGAACTGTCTATGTACATATTGAGTCAAGGAAGTTTGAAGTTCTTTTAACTTGATATTAAAAACAAAATTAACAACACTGAAGTTACAAAAGATTATCTTGATCATTTTACCATACCTTTAGAAGAAATAGGTACTTCTTTGACCTGAAGAAACCCACTGCTTGACGAAATTGTCATTGTAGTTAGTAGAATAATTCATTGTAACTTTAACTTTGTGGTTTATTTCTTCGTTAGTAATGGTTAGATCTTTGCCAAAACAAATATATGAGCGTAAACGTATCCTAGTGTTATATATGAAATGTGGAGTTAGAAAATTATGAATTAAAAATTTTGAAAGTGAGAAAATGAAGATCAGAATTTATTAAAGAGTTATTTTTGCATTGAAGATAATCTTCATTGTTTGTGATTTAAACTTCAATATTCGTCATAATCTTAAGGTCATCAGTTCTAAGACTAGTTGGACTCGCACCTCCACTTTTTTCTATCCTGAGCTAATCTTCGCATTTCCCTAAAACTGGAACAACCCACATCCTTAACTATTGACGAACAGTAGTCTAATCTAGGTGATGAAGCAGGATAGTCGGTGTTTAACTTATACCAGCTTCTGCTGTACGCCAACTTAATATTGTACAGCTAGTTGATGATTTTTCCTTTAATAAANTGATTTAGGGAGATATCAGTTAGATTACATACTTGTTAGGCAAACGTTTAAAAATTAAGTGAAAGATTGTAGGAGTTATCCAGGAGTAGATATAGATAGCGATCATAATTTAGTAGTTATGAAGATCAATCTTAAATTGAAAATTCTGAAAAATAGGGAAGGTAGGAAACGTTTTGACTTAGAAAAGCTAAAATGGAACGAAACGCGTGATGGGCTAGGTAAAAGGACAGACGAAATACTAAAGGCAGCGGGAGAAACGAATGACGGGGACAAAGAGACAGAATGGAACTGCATTAAAACATGCCTGAAGTCAGCAGCTACAGATATACTAAGTCTTAAACGAAACGAAAGTAGGAAACCCTGCATAACAAATGAGATTTTAGGAATAATAGAAGAAAGGCGGAAATCCAAAATCAGGACAGACGAAGAAGGGCAAAAAAGATATAAAGCTATAAAGTGGGAAATAATTAGGAAGTGTAGGGCAGTTATGTTAGTCCGATAGTACCTACTCGAAGTAGGCAATAAGATAGTAACTAATGGAGTGGAAAATACGTATATAAAATACGGAAATAAACATCCAGTTTTAGCTACAAGTTGTAATTAATTTGATCACCATAGTCATTCCATCACACGGTGGATTTTTCAAGTGGAAGAAATCATAATTCTTAACTAATTACTGTGTGTTTACTTTCATATTTAGTTGTTTAGAGTGATGATCCCAATGTTGGTCTTCTATATTTGGTCTTAGTCTTGGTCTTGCTGGTTAAGTCTTGATCTTACTTATTTAATCTGATACCTACGTTTTCTTAAAATTCTGAGCACAAATTCTTCTATTTAGCGACACAATATTATCTTAAATGTTGAAATTATTTGTCATACACGCGAGCTTATCATGAGTTTTAAAGAAATTACTGTTGATAGTTCTGACAGTTATGAAAACTCTAGAACCTACCCTTTCTCCAATGCATAAATTGACATTTCCTCCAACACATAAATTTACCCTTTAGAGCACATAATAGTACAAGGTTAGGTACTTGAGAGAACTAACAATTTAAAAACAAAAAAAATTAGTTGTGTCTCTTTATTTCAAGCAAAGCAAACTGAAAATTTCAAATATTAAAAATGTTTTTTATCCAAAAAAGAATATTTATAAGTTGCTTCAAACAGTTTAACTCATAGATCCATCGGAAGTAATAATTTCTCGTTTAGTCTTTGTATTTAGTCTTGGTCTTGTTCGGTCGGTCTTGACCTTGGTTTGCTGGTATAAATATAGTTTTGCTCTTGCATTTATCCTATTTCCGATGCACAATTTGGGGCCAACCTTGACATGTATTATGCGCAATTGAGAGTTAGATTAAAACGCAAAGCCATAACTTGCACTGACATTATTTCTTATTTTACTGCATATCAGTTTCACCTTTACTCTTAACCATAAGTTAAATAAATTGATGTTCCTTTAAAGGTCATTCGAGTATTTTTATAAATAAGTTATATGGATGAGTAGAACCTTTTTTGTTCGAAAACATTATAATAATGTTCGGAATGCTTTTAGTATAAAATAAATGCTTCACTCTTGTCTTGTCTTCTTAATTATTAACATAAATAATGTCGGAGTTCGCGCTAGTCAACGAAAAAAAGCCCAACGAAAAAAGTATTGTAGCAGGCCGAGCTACATTTCTTTTCATCAAATATGACATTTATTTCTTTTGAAGTGTAAATGATGAAACGTCATGACGAAATGGAAGCTAAGTTGTTCTCTCTAGGCTACTTTATGCTCGTAAAAGCATGTCAGGTAGCTCTGAAAAAAGCAACGAATTGGAGAGCTGGAATTCAAGCAAGACCGAAGCGGGCAGGAAGAATTTAGTGGCGGACAACTCAGGTTGGTTGTTTGTAATTTAAAACATTCGTATATTTTCCTATGACCAACAAAGTAAAAACCAAATCATGCCCAGTTGGGGATACAGTTGATGTTGCATCTATCTATATATTTTAAGACTTTTGAAAATCGAAATAAACTTGTTATGATGTTAGCAAAGCGTTTAAAATTAATAATATTTGCATAGGAAACCTGAGACTGATATAAAGTGATCAAAGATTAACTCTTTGACTTAAAAGTGATGGAATTGTACCAGTACAGTTAACAATTTTTCAAACATCATTTTGGGTTTGTCCATTGACATCTCATTGTTTACATTCTATCATTTACCACTTACACATCAAAGGAGTATTGTTTAGATCGATCTAATAACATTTTATTTGAGATCAAGTTAGAAATCATCAATTAGTTACGATATTTGACTTTGAAATCAGCCTCTGTAGTAACAATAATAATAATAATAATATAATAATAATGGAATATTTACGGAACGTTGTTGATTGTTTAGAACCCTCCCAATGGTTTTAATTCTCCTTAAAAGTTTCACAAATAATCAGGTTGAGTTATCGTCCTTGGCAAAATTTATTTTGTCACAAATTAAACTCGATTAAAAAGTTCTTGAAGTTCAGCGAAATACTTGTGTTACTCGACATCTTCGTAGTTGACAATTTCGCTTTATATATTAAGTGGCATTAGGGCAAAAAGTTTTGCTGAAACCATCTCATTTCCCCCATCTTCTCTGGTTGTAGGTCAAAATTTCACAGTCCCTAAGAAGAACGAACCAAAGAAACTGTCAAGTAGTGTTAGGATTGAAAGTGAAAACTTGTCTAATTATCGAGATAGAAAAGCGAAAGGCGAAGGCGGCAGCACCCATGATTATGCAAAGAACTTAGAAACTATAAGAAATAAATTAAAATTGCTTGACATTAGTCAACGAAGTTCATCAATATCTACGAATAATGACGTGCAAGCTCAACGTTCATCATCCAGTTTTACTAGCGTCAGTCCGAGAACAGCGGGATTGCACATTTCTGCACCAACGTCTACAAAAACATATTTTCCAAATGTCATCTCAAACAAAGAAAAGAAAATTGATGCCGAAACAACTTTCAGCAACTCATTATCTTCTTCCAATAGCTCGCCCAAAAATGACAAGCTGGTGAAACATAAACAGGTGTCCGACGGTTCAACTTCAAGAAGTGCCAAAATTATTAACATTTACAGCCCGAGGAAGAAAATGTACTTTACGTCATCATCAATTTCTAACAGCAGTTCGAACGGTAGTTGTTTTGCACATTTCGATAAAGGTTGTCGTCGTACAGTGGTAAATGAAAAGGCAAAACATTTACCACAACATCCAAAGAAGAAAGCAACCTCAAGCGGATCAACATCTGGCTCATCGAGGAAGAGTCAGTTCAATGAAATATCCAAAGCTAAAAGGCGAACAAGGAAACATTTAAAAAAAAGAGATATGTCAATTGTAGAAGTGCTAAATAAAGTGTGCAAGCCAAAATATGAACAACCCAGTAATCAATCTAAGAAAGATACTTGTGATAATGTATCTTTTTCGACAAGTACAACAGACGAAGATGAAGAAATCGAAAAAGAACTATCAGACGTACCATTGGCCGTCGAACATCAAAATGTGACCTCGCCTTTAAAAACTAAACGTGAGTCGCCAGAACCTTTTAGTTCGAGAATACAGAATTTCGGACTTCCGGACTCTGGAGAATCTTCGATTAAAAAGTATAGCTGTAGCATTGATCACAAACAGCCTGAAGTTAGACCGATTACCAGGCGAAACAAGCAAACTAGTCCATCCAAAGGAACATCTAAAAGCCTGCCAATGAAGTCCACTAAAAGTGAAATCCGATCTCAGTTACAGAAAATGTCACAATCTGCTGTGTCTAAGAACCAAAACCCGAAGATTAAAAGTTGTACTACTGTAAAATTAGCAACACCCACAAATCTTAAAAAACATACGAAGGTAAAGGAAAAAAGCGATTGCGTCACAAAATTAACAACAATAAAATCGAGTAGTTCCTTTAACAACACCTTACCCGAACTTTGTAAAGTGAGGATAGACAGCGATGTCGCTGTAAAATCAGCATCTTTTCGAAAAATTAAGAAATCTGTCGATCGTATTCAATCTAAGTGTATAAAGCCAAAAATTTTGGAAAAAACTGAAAACTTGACGTTAACTGCAATGATTTGCAGTCCCAAAGAAGAGGTATCTTCGGCTTCAACTAAGTCAGGTACATCTCCATCTCAGTTAACTCTAACTTCCCCCACAGTTACTGAACGAAAGTCGAAGAAAACCGTTCCTTCTTACAAATTCCCGTTTCCAAGTGCAACAATTCCAAGGGCATTCACACTAGAAGGTTTGTTGTGTGATACGGTGAATAGCCCATCAAAACAATCAAAGGTAAAGAAAAAGTCAGCAACACCACCCTGCAATCCAGTATCAAACGTTGATGATTTAAGGGTTTACAGCACCCATTTGGACTTGCCCAATGCGTTTCATTCAGACAAAATAAAAAGTTCGAGCTATTTGATTCCCTATTTAAAAAAGAAAAATAGAATCCATAATACCAGAAGAGCTACGACTGGTGACAGTTCCATTAATCGTAGAGGTTTCAGCCATACAAAAAGTATACAGTTCACTGTTAGTCCTAAAAAATGGTTACTTACACGGCAAAGCAAAAGTTTACCAGGAAAGNGAGAAGATTCAAATGTAATATGCACGATAATGTAAATTAGGATGCAAAGAATGTACAGTTAAAACCAAACGCAATCGAATAAGATATTATTAAATGTGTATATAACTAAAAACTATAAGTATAACAAAAAACAAACGTTTCGGCGAATAGCGACGGAACACTAGGTCTACCTCTACCCCTCCTTACTCCCGTTTCTGCCTCTAATATGTCTCTAACTAGCCCTTAATTCCTGAGAAGGTGTCCTACCAACCTATTTCGCCTATTGCTCATTGACTTCTACAGAGTTCTCTGTTCTCCTTTTTATAACACCTCAACATTTCTAACCATCTCTATAATAGTATGAAGGAAGTTTTGAAAATACACGTTTTAAAAACGCCTACAAACGCATGAAAGGTTAGGGAAATGTTACAAATAGGAACTAATGTATTTAAGCATTTTAGAACAATGGTTTTAAAAATGCCTATGTTTGCAGCAAGTCAAAAAATCAATGGAGATTATGATTTTTCAAAACTCAAATTATTAACGTTAGTATTTTTAAGTTAATACAAAATATGTTTTATTAAAGTAATGCTATTATCATAAACTTTTTAACTGAAACTGTCCAGAAATATTTTGGTATTACAAAATTCATCTTAATGCGTTTCAAGCCTAATCATTGTGTAGTACTAAATCTGAACAGCTGCCAAACATTTAATCTTTTAAAGCTTCCATTCATAATTTTGGAAACGTATTTAATTCATATTGAGGTAGCTATTTTTCATAAAAAAAAACTTAATTTTGTATGCTCGAAAGATACCTTAAATTTTTATCTCTTCGCTAATGTAATCAGCTAATATAATTAACTCATTTTTATTTTGACCGCCCTTTCGTTTTTGCATAATTCGGCCTAATTATAGATAATGTATTTATGGGAGTTGTCACTCAACCTCATTTTGTTAGAAGTCTAATCAGCATGTTCGTTTTCTCTTGTGTGAAGTGTAATACACCCTGGTGGTGACATGAGAACTGAGTATAGGGATATTTTGTTTCATGCTATCATCAAAAGACTGCATCATCTTTTGAAATATACGATGGAATATATGGGAAAATTCGTACAAATATCTTCAGTCACCTTTTCATGTAAGAGAATAATAAGGTATAGGTAATATAAGGTAATAGACGCAATTTAAAGCTTTTGAAGGTGATTACTCTTTAAATAAAATAATTCGAAATGGTCTCTATTCTGTCGAAACTGCCAGACGCGGATGGCGATTTCGATCTTTTTGGATATCATCAGCGCGTTGCAGGCAGCTCCGACAGAACACAGACCAACTTTTATCTGCTGTCTTAACAGTGCGTTTTAGAAAATACTATAAATGGCGCAGTAAACGCCATCTGTAGCACGATGCTACTTTTTACTACATGTAGCATCGTGGTACAGATGGCGTTTACTGCGCCATTTGTAGTATTTTCTAAGATTACTCTTTGTTCAAAAGTTTTTACCTTTTACGATTAAGAAGCAGGTGATATTTTCAGATAGACGTGGTTAAAAAGACACATTTCATACGTTCACCAAATCATACATTTTCGCTCTTGCGACATCAAAAGCAAATGTTCTATCAAAGAAATCTGTCACTTCACGTTCAGAGAACGTTTTGCTTTAGCTTTATAGTTATATCAGTTTGATTCTTTTTTTTTTGTAAAAATCAGCAGACATCTCCCTATTCTCACTAACGAAACACAAATGCTACATGAACTGATTCCTGGCAGTGAAAATTTTTGGATTTTAATTGCCTAGCTACTTTTTGCAGTAAATCCATTCTCCCTATAATACCTAATATAATATCCGTGTAGTTGTGTAGTTGAACTTTCAGTTCCTTGACATAAGTACGTACACACTGTTTTTCATTTATTTGAACTTGAATCTCTCAGCTTCTTTAACTAACTTTAAAAATATAATTTATTTATGAAGCGCCTACTGTTTTTTGTACATAAGTGTGCTCATCGAATGAAATTTCATTATTCAATGGAAAGTTCTAATTCTGCTGGAAAGTCATCAATACATTTTCCTCTTTTGTCCGAAGCCCTCTTCGTAGAGTATTAAGCATCCCGTCCCTTCCTATGAATTTTTGAAGACTTCTTTTTGTATATCTATAATGAGAAAACTTTGTCCAAAATTGACAGTTTTTCTTTTATTTTGGACTCGTGGTGGATCCCACATCTTCTTGCGAGCTTTTTTGTGCGTTTCACCTGTGACTGAGTATTCTCGGTAGGTATAAATATAACTCTTTCAGAAAAGTTTCGTTTGGACGTTTGGTTTCATTATAAAGGGAAAAACTTATTTAATATGCCTTTATATTTGGTAGGACGTGTAGAGAAACGGTTGACGAATAAGGTTGAAAGTACGATTAGGGTCTGACAAGCTGTCTATTGTTAGGAAATAGGTCTAAAGGAAAGTGGTTTTATTACTGTGGTGTATAGCAAATGTTCTTTGTATCTTGTTAATTGTAAATGCAAAGTGTCCCATCTACAAATGTAATTATCTAGATACATGCGATAACCCCCTGTATTTAGAATTAGATTGTCAACGAGAAAATTCTGGAATCTTAAGATATTCCTATCAGAATATATTTTAAAGTGCTAGAAATCTACGAGTTGTGAGATGCTAGATTAAAGGCAACGTCGGAAAGGCATATGCAAATCTATTTTTATCGTGCGGGTCCAAAGGTTACTAACTATAAAAATCTAATTAAAAAAGAGTTTATCAAATTTAATACCATTGTTTACGCTTGCAGACGCGGAAAACTAGAAAATTAATTTTGATTACATTGTCAAAGTTGTCACTTTAATAAAGCAATCATCTATTAATCAAAACTCTTTAGAGCCGTTAAAAATTATAGGTCTGTACCCTTTTCTCATAACGAAATTGTATACGTACGTCTGTTTGCAATCAAAACCAAACAGGAAAGTTTGTCGTTGATCAGTCCGCACGTCAACAGCGGTTTTGAATATATCACTTTTAAAATGAAAAATTAATTTTGTTCAATTGACTGTCTTGTCAGATACGTTCGACCTTTGGAGTCGCGTACAGGACTGTATCACTATAATGTGCGTAGTGCATGCAAAATTACCACATTAATTAAAAAAGAATAACTAAAGAACGAGTGGGACTCGTAAATTACCACTAGAACTATAACCACTGCGGACACGTGTTTCGCCATTTCTTCATGTGGGCATTATCAACGCGTTTCTAAATTGTAAATTGTGACTATTTATATGAATGTTCAAAAAGGGTGCTGTTAATAATTGTATATACCAAATTTGAACATGCGAAAAGGCGGGGGATGCAAGATCAAGAGTCCGGAACTTAAATATGTTGGGCAAACAAAAAGGCCTATTCTGACAAGATATAAAGAACATATTTTTAATCGGATTGAGAAGTCAAGTGTTGCCCAGTATATTTTTAATACAAATCACCCTTTAACCAATTCCAGAATGTCTCACCACCCACTATCGCAGTAAGATCGATTTTGTCTACAATACAATCTAATGTTTTTGCTCCCTAGTATCTTTTAAACGCCGTCATAATATAAAGTCAAGAAAAAATTTACAAAACTGATGTCCTGTAAAAGCTACATCTAACGTCTTTACGGTATATTATATTTCGCTTCTTTTGCTGTTTTCATACAAGTATTAATTGAAAGCGCAATTGTCAACATGTTTTTCCACGGCTAATTGAATAATGGACAAATACAGACAAACCGAACACTAATAATTGTTACAGAAAATTACCGGATATTACGAATGTTATGTGTCCTCTAAATGTGCGGAAAAAAATAAAAATTTTAACATTGTCTGTCAACCTTTTAGAAGTGTAATTTTTAAAATCATGAACGAATCTTGATCATGACATTTTAATTTTAGAGATAGAGATAGGAAAAATCAGAGCGTTTAATAATTCGTTTCGAGTCGATGCTATGTAGAAAACAATGAATATTGAACTAAATAATATTGACAATTATTATGACAACAACCGAATTTATTGGTGCGGTACATAAGAAAAACTATTTATCTCATCGTCAGTTACTGTCGTGCTATTGTTTTCATTATAACGTTTAGATAATTTATTTCTATTTCTGGAGTTGTAATTTACTGTTGCTGTGAACTAGTAGAAATTTTAATTGATACACATTGAAAGAAAAAACAATATTTATTAGTTTCAGCGTAATTGGTAAAACATACATTTACTTATATGTCCACAATTAAGTATTATTGCATGGTATAATGATTTACGTATTGTGTAGAACAAATAGGCGTTTTTGTCGTTTATTTTATTGCATTCGCCTGTGATTTATTGCACTTTTACTATTGCTAAATTACTTTTTTTATGTACTGAATTTTGTTATAATATTCAACCGTTTTATTTACTTCAGTTAGACTATAACTTTTTTCTGTTCTGTTTAATATATCTAAAAAACTCATTTTATTAATTTGTATTACGATTACTAATTTAAACGATTTGTAAAGGGGATCGAAAGAGGAGGTCTCCCCCACCACTGTACCGTAAAAAGTTCATGGCGGTCTCACCCCCCATAAAACGTTAAGGGGGTTCAAAGTTAATAAATATGCCAATTTTTATACATTTCTAGGCATGTAAATATTTATATAGTCATTCTTAAACAATATTCAAAGGTAAAACTAATGAAAAATACATAAAAATATTGAGAAAGTTATATAAAACATTATTTAAATATCTTTATCAATAGGGTAGGTTAGGTTAGGTTAGGTTATCGGGTTTTGTTCAAGTGACCACCCTCTTTCGATCCCCCACCTCCACCCGCTTGAAAATATTTTTTTATTGAATTTTATTTGAATTATACTGTATGAAAATTGTCAAAATAATCAACTTTCAACCCCCATAACTTCTTATGGGGGTGAGACCGTCGCAAATTTTTTATGGGGTTTTACTCAGATGACTACCCTTTTTCGATCCCCCCTGCCCCTACCCCCATCTAACCCCCATAGCCTTTTATGG